AACAGTGACTCATCTAAACATGAATCTATAGGTCTCTATTTTGAGAACTCATATTAAAGGCAATGAGGGAAAAGACTAGAAAGGGAGAGGGACAATTGACCTAGAAGCCTTAGGAATCATAATAAAGGCTAGACATTCCTGGCTGCCTGACCCTAGGGAGAAAGATTTGTCTAAAAGATTGTAGGTGAGTAAATGGAGTTTGCTGTGGTTTCCTGATGTTACCACCCCTCTGGTCAAATCCCTGTACTCAGATATTAAATTGACACAGAATCAGAGTCGGAGTCTGAAAATTCTTTGGAGTGCAAACTTCCTTCTTTTTTTTAAACTCAGGGCTTTCCTGACACTTTTCCTGCTAAGATGTTGTCTCTTTGGGTAGTTCCCTATCCTAGTTGAAACAGTGCTCTGGAGAAGAAGCCAAGCTGTTATTGGGCTTTTAGATATTTGCTGATGGTCTCAATAGCCCTCTGTAGTGAACCCTCTGCAAGGGGACAGGGAAATCGCTGCCAGCGGACCCTGTGGGTCAGGCTGAGACCCCCCACTCATGTTACCTGATTTGCTTGGCCTACTCTGCCATATCATCTTGCTCATTCTTGCCACCAGCAAGTAGATGTCTGCTGTGTGCCAGAGCATTGTGCCAGGCACCAGGGCTACCTTGGGGAAATGAGGTGGGACTTGTGCCTTGGGGAGCTTTTTCACTTTAAGCTATACATTTGATATTTTCTTTTTTTGGAGCCTTGCTATGTCACCCAGGCTGGTGCAGTGGCACGATCTCGGCTCACTCCAGCCTCCGCCTCCCAGGTTCAAGCGATTCTCTTGCCTCAGCCTCCTGAGTAGCTGGGATTACAGGTGTGTGCCACCACGCCTGGCTAATTTTTGTATTTTAGTAGAGACAGGGTTTTACCATGTTGGTCAGGCTGGTCTCCAACTCCTGACCTCATGATTCACCTGCCTAGGCCTCCCAAAGTGCTGGGATTACAGGCATGAGTCATTGTGCCCGGCCACATTTGGTGTTTTCACAGTCTATGGTCAGTGTTATGCTGGAGCACTTCAGGAGCACCTCCTAAGTTTAGAGAGGGAGGAAGACATTGCCTCCCTAAGCTTGTCTATTTGTGTCCTTATTGGAGAATGTAGAATAGCAATCTTAACCTAGAGCCAGCATTACAGAAGCCCTCATACTTACTTCCACCTTGCCTCTATTTTTGTGTTACTGTGGGCAAGATAAACCAAGAGCTTAATTTTTCTCATCCTTCAAACAAAGATAACATTCGCCCTGCCTTCCCCACAGAACTATGGAGTGGTTAAATAAAATACCAGTTATGAAAGTTCTTTGGAGTGTTCAGGGCAGTGCAGACTGAGTCATTTTGAAGTTAGTATCTGTGGTAGACCAGAGAAGAAATCAAGGAGGTGTCACAGCATCACAATGGAAAGTTTTAAGTCCTTATTTTTTGTTGCTGTGAACCGAAATGTCTTAGTTGAGCAAGTACCTTTATGCCAGGAATTACCAAGATGAGGATTTGGCAGCCCACGCCACAAGTCACGATCTTTCCTGAGAAGCAGGAACTACATTGCAGCCTCACAAAGCTGGGGGAGACAGTTATAACCCCACCAAGGGGCCAATCACAGGTGAATGCCTGGGCTTTTTTGGAGTTTGTCAGAGATAGTTTCTATACATGAAAAACATTTCTTCAGGGCAAGACTATACTAAGATAATGTCTCATTGTCCTTTTTTATCTTGATCCACTCAAGAATAAGGGCCGTGTCTCTTCATCTCAGCCCTCAAAGCCCTACCCAATGATAGGCATTAACAAGATGAAGGAATGAATGGACATAATGAAGAGCATTCAGAGCTTGTGAACTCATGATAATAATGGACACTAACTGTGCCAGGCACTGTTTTAAGTGCTTTACATGTGTTATTTAATCCTCACACAAGCCTATGAGGTAGAACTCTTACCATCCTCTGTTTACTGAGGAAGAAACTGGGACATTGAGAGGTTAAGTAATCTGCCCAAGGTCACACAGGCTGGTGGTCTGGCCCCAGCCTGTAACAGTCACTGCACTGTATGGCCTCCTGCAAGTGAAAGAGCTTGTACTTTGGGGCCAGGCCCTATCAGTAAAATGCAGATTATGATCATTTCCCACTTTAGGGTGTTAGGAAGATTCAGAGAGCTAACACACAAAGCCACTGGAATATAGTGGCAATCCGTGGGTACTAGATCTTTTCCCCTCATTTGGTGTCCACTCATGTGGACTCTGCAGCCAAGTTCTGTTTCATGATCAGCTATGGAAAACTCAGCATGCGGTTAAATCTCTGGATTATTCAGGGTTCAGAGAGGAGGGACTCACACCAGGCCTTATAGAATGGACCTGCGTACTCTGTGGCCAGAAGGGAGTTGGGCATCCTCACCTGCCAGGCATTCAGTTCTTTTTGTGCACCCCTACCACAGACTGGTAAGGGCTGTTCTAGATGAGGTGGGGACACCCTCTCTGCTCTCGAAACTCAGTGTGACATTGGGCCCTCTAGTCTGATAGGACTCACAGGGCTTCGTAAACTCACTCTCCTTATCTTTGATTGTGGTAGTTTGATCTTCCCATACTGCATAATTTCAGTTTATCTAAATACCTCACTGTCTTCCATTAATACATTTTTTTCCTAATTTGACAAATATAAAACTGCCAACTTTTCAGACCCAGCTGCCATTTTATTCCATTTAATCAACATTTTTTCCCCTCTGAAACTAGGCCATCCATTTAATCCTCTTTTTCTAATAAAATTGCTCAAAATTTACAAAACTGCCATTTCATTGGTTTTATATCCTAATGTATTACTCATCTCGTTATAAATTTAGTGCTGATATATATTTTCAAGCATTTTGACTGGTAGATAATTTTAAATAGAGACTAATTTACTGATTTTCCTTAGCTACTTATTTGTGGTTAATAATAACCCATTAATTAAAATTTTAATTAATGTTTTTAAAGAGAATGATGTATTCACGTCACTTGAAATCCAAGATACGTCAAAGGATCTGGGGTGAAGTCTCACTGCATACTTCTCCCCAGCTCCTCATTTTTCCTCTTTGGAGAAAACCAGTGTCATCATTTTTTGGGTGGATTTTCAGTGACATTCTCTGCAGATATAAGCACAAATTATAAGCTACTTACCCATACACATTCCTCCACCTTGTTTTGCTCAAATAGTTGCTTATTATACCCACTATTCTGCAATTTGCTCTATTTACTTAATGATACCTTTTAAATTATTCTGAGTCAGTTGATTCTTAAAAAGCTTCCTTTTTTTTTTTTTTTTTTAAATGGCTGCCTAGCTTTCCACTGTGAGACTGGACTGTGATTTATTTACTCAGTCTCCTTCTGGTGGATATTTCAATTGTTTCCAACTTTTTATGAATACATGTGATGCCATAGTGAACATTTAGGGATATATGTCATTTTTGTATGAATGAGAGTTTATCTGGAGGATAAATTCCCAAAAGTAAAATTGCTGAGTCACAGAGTATATACATTTGTAGACTTAAAATATTGCCAACTTGCCCTCCATAAACGTGACTTCAGTTTATACTGCTACTAGCAATGTATGAGCATGCCTGTTTTCCTGTTTCTTCATAGCCTTCCTAGCTCAGTCATTAAAGTTTTACATTTATCAATAGGGTAGATTTTTAAAATGGTGTCTATTTTAACTTACCATGAATGAGGTTGACTATCTTTTCACTTCTGAGGTCCTTAGATTTTTTACTCTGTGAACAAACTCTTCATATCCTTTCCCTGTTTTTCTATTTGTTTTTCTATGTTTATTTGTTGTACTTTCTGTTCATTGATTTTAGGGAAAATGCTTTGCATATTAAGGAAATTAGTCTTTTGTCTTGATATGAGTTGTAAATTTTTTTCCCCAAGTTTACCTCTTTTCCTTTGATTTTGTTACTGATTTCTTTGCCATGTGAATTTACCCCTCTTCATGATTGCTGATGGCTTTGCTTTGAGGTTCGTTTGTTTTTTTAATTCTCCAATTTCTTCCAGTATTGTTTTTAATTTTTTGAATCTTCCAGATTATAAAGTATGAGTAACGGAATCAACCTTCTTTTCCCATGCAATGGTTGTTAATTTCAGCCTTGCTTTTAATTTGTATCCTACATATTGTATGTCCTGTCAATGTCTCTTATACCAACCCTGTGCCTCTAACGTAAGTCAGGCTGATTTAGGATCACAGATCATTATTTCATGAGACAGCTTGGCTTGAGGCAACAAGCATTGTCTTCGGTGTCGAAGCCGACCTGGTTTTGAATGGCAGCTTAGCAACATCTTACCTATACAACCTCAGACAAGTTACTTAACCTTTCTGAACTTTTACAACCTCATTTTATAAAATGTGGTTGATAATACTTCATTTTGCAAACGTGTGACCATTAGAGATAATGTTTATAAACTGCCTGTTCGGTGCCTGAAACACAGTAGTAGATAAATGGGGGCTATTGCTATTGTCATCATCATTCCCAATGTCAGCAACGTGATGTCAGTCTGAATGAGGACATTGTATGCCCTCAGTGTGCAGCCATTCTTAAGTAAAAACTGGTGCTCCTGGAAATTGGATGTCGGACCTCCCTACCTAAGCCAGAAGGCATCACAACTACCCTAGTAAAGATCACACTGGCATTTTGAGGGCCATGTTTATAACTTCTGGGCAGAGATTCAACTGTTAGGTGTCTATTAAAAGTGCACTTCGCTGGAAGGTAAAAAGTGTCTGATTATGTAGTCTGGTTTTATAAGCAGGTCTATGAAATTAAGTCAGCATTAGTTTGTTAGTGCTGTTCGGACATATAATGATCTAAGAAATATTATATGATCTGTATAATCTCATTTCAGAACCTATTCAATCCTGTCCTACATCTAGTGGTCCCCCAGTTTTTAGAACATAGAAGTCTTCCTTCCGCTAGGTTTTCTATTTAGATCTGAAATTTAGTTCCATGTTGTTTTTCTATTTTCAGGGATGACTCTGTTCCAGAAGACAACATCTGGAGAGGCATCCTCTCTGTTATCTTCTTCTTTCTTATCATCAGTGTGTTAGCCTTCCCCAATGGTAAGTGATGTCATGTGTTACCACATTTCTCGTATGTGTTGTGCCCTTCTAGTTTTTTTGAGATGAGTCATCTAGAAGATGGAATAAAAAAAAATAATCTGAGTTTTGTGTAGGGTTTAGGTGCACAGGCTCTGGAGGCAGACTGCCCATTCTGTCACTTCCTGGCTCCAGGGAAGCCCCCTAAGAGTGCTAAGAGTGCTTCAGTTTCCTTCTATAAAATGGAGATCACAGATAGGTATGGTTGTGAGGGTTAACTAAATTGGGGCATGTTAAACATTGTAAATATGACTAACAAATTATAAATGTGATTTCTCAATAAATGTGGTTCTTTCTGTGGCTGTTTTTGTTATTATCAGATGAGTCATAAAATACTCCATTACGGCTGAGTTCTTCGTTTTTGCTAAGGACAGGGTCAATGCTATAATGAGTATTACTTAAATGGGTTGTCCCGAGTGATCTTTTATCACCACAAACTTTGCTGATTATGCATTTGGGATATGAATTTTCATCAGCAGGAAAAAAGACAATTATTACTGTGAATTGTGCCCCCATCATGATTATGGAGTGAGGCAAAACTTTTGTTTAAAAAGCAAGTTTGGTATTCTGTCATGCTCACAATTCATCCCTTTCCTCCAAATTGTTCCTTAAAAGTTACTGTCTTTTTTCTTATTCCCTTTCAGTATCTTCCCAGTAGAATATTCTCTACTTGTTCTCCATAACCATTTATTTTTATTTCTTTTTTGTTTTGTTTTGTTTTTTTGTTCTCTGAAGTGAATGAATTGAACCAAATCTCCATAACCATTTCTAAATGCTCACTCTTGTCTTCTATTTTTTTAAAAGGATATTTGAAAATTGTTCCAGTCTTTCTTATGGGTTATTCTCCATAACCATAGGCCAGCCCTACTTGGGTTTTAAATGTCGTGCTTTAGGCTGCATTTCTTCTGTGACTGCCCATGCTATTCAGTAGGCTATCGTGTAATATAAGAAGCTCATTATGAATGTTATCAGATGCTACCTGGAAATGTTCCATGTCAAGGCCTTCAGGCTTCCTAAGATGGTAGCAGTGGAATTTTGTTCTATTTTCTGAGATACGAGTCATCTAGAAGAAGGTAGATTTAAAAAAAAAAAAAAAATCTGAGTTTTGCATCATAGTTAAGAGCATGGGCTCTGGAGGCAGACTCTTATGTGGCACTGTGTTTACAAGAATGTAGTGGTTTTAGCATGTAGCAGAGTAGCATAATAATCACACTGATAAAACCATGACTCTGGATCCCTCAGAGAATGAATTGTTCTACATAGCCAAGTTATTTGGGAGCTGAGTTTAGCTCTCCAAACATGCAAGCTTTTACGTTAAAAGTTTTTTTTAATGAAAATCTGCATACCTTATGCAGATAAGTCAAGTGTAGTTTGGCTTTTTCATAAGGATTGATGGTTCTGGTAATGCTCAGTTATCAGGGTATCAAGACAATGTATGCGTAATACGGGAAAGTCATGGAATGAAGGGGTGTTGACCCTGCTATAGGATTTATTTTATTTTATTTTTTTATTTTTGGAGATGGAGTCTTGCTCTTGCCCAGGCTGGAGTGCAGTAGCTATTCACAAGTGTGATTACAGGCCACTGCATCCTCAAACTCCTGGGCTCAAGCTATCCTACCTCAGCCTTCTGAGCAGCTGGAACTGCAGGCATACACCACTACACCCAGCTAATTTTTTGTATTTTTTGTAGATAGAGATGGGGTCTCACTGTGTTGCCCAGACTGGTCTTGAACTCTTGGCATCAGGCAGTCCTCCATCCTCAGCTGCCTGGGCAGCTAGGACACCTGCTATCAAATTTGCTGAAAAAAATTCCTGATGTCAAACAACTGTTTGGCTATTTGCCAACTTTCCTTTCCCTCCCATTGAATTTTAGGTTAGGGGAGAGCTTGGGTGTTATGTAGATCCTTATCTCCTTCAAGAGTGCCAGCCAAAGGTGGGTTTCCTGAGCGCTGGGTCCTGGCCTTTCCATACAAAGGTGGCATATGGATACAACTCAAAGCAAGGAAATGGCAAACTCTATCTCGGGTTACATACCAACTCAATGCAAGGCAGACATGTGGAGCCTCTAAAATGTGACTAGGTGACTATTCACATGGTAGCGACAGTTTATTCCCCTTCCCCTCAGCCATTCTGCCTTCTGCATCCTGTGATCTGCTGCTTCCTTCTTTGTCATCACTCAGTGCTATGACCATTTCTCTTTATTTCTCTTATGTCCTCTTTCCTGTCTTTGTTTTTCCCCTATCAGTCTGTCATGCACATGTGCTCAGGAAACTGATCAGTGCAAAGGTATCAGGTCTGTTCTTTAAGTCTTCAGCTTTCCTTGACTGTGTTACTTGTTGCTTAGTTCTCAAGGGTTTCTTTTTGGCTCTTTATAAACAATTTGCTGTTTCTGAGTCCAGAGCTGTTTTAGAAGTATGAAGGTTCTAAAAGATTAGTCTCCCAATCGCTGTGATTTTTACAGCCATCCCTTCTCTGAGTCTTTAGCAGGAGCTGAGTATTGGGGCTTCATTAGCAGTTGTTTTTCTTGAGGTACCAAAGGCACTGAAGGTTATGGGATTAGATCTATTCGATGTAACACTTTGTGTGATTTCTGCTGACTTTGCCTCTGTTCCCCAATGAAGTACTCTGATCTTCAAAGTTGACTTCACCTGCTCAATCTCTCATTGTGGGACTGTGCTTTTGTTTTGATTTTGGAAAGATAAAACTGAAGCTTGGTTTTCTTATCCTGGCTGCATGGACTTTGTGAAATACACAAAGTGGGGAGGAGCCATAGAGCTCACCTAGTTCAGCCGTCTCAGTTTACCAGTGAGAAGGCTGAAATATGCCACCACGTCCCCCACCTTTGATGTCAGCAGGGCCGCAGCTGTGCATTTTCCTTCCTCAGTGCTGTTCTGGTCATATCTCTTGTTAGGTCCTTTATCTCTGCAACATGCTTTATCTCTGACTTTCTCCCGTAATATGTTTCTATCTCCTCCTGTTTCCCTTTTTTTCTGTCAGTCCCTGGCTTGTCTTTTCCCCCAGGGTGGGGTCTTAGTTGGCCTGGACCTAGCATGCTTTGCATGCCACAGGAGGTGAGTGGTGACTGAGCGGATGCTTCTCCGTTGCCCATGTGTGTCTGTGATTGGCAGGAGCTGACACATTGATCTAACCCTTCCTACTTTCTCCTGTTTCTACTCTATTTCTGCCTTGCCGTCCTTTCCCCTCCTCCCGTGTACTTACACACACACACACAGACACACGCACCATTTACCAAGAGGCAGACCCTGCCAAAAATAAGGTTTCAGATAGGTATGGAAGCTATAAACAAGGAGGATGACAGCTCAGTGTCCTGTGCTGGAGGGACTGGGACATTAGTCAGCGAAGGGAGGACATGGATTCTCTTGAAGCCACGTGTATATAGCACACATACTGTGCTTACCTCATTTGTTTTCTGAAGATCTGTTTATTTACACTTTACCTAAGAATAGTAAAACTAACTTTTTCACATGAAAGAATGTTACCGAATAGTTTTCAATTAGGAATGGCTTTGGAAGGTGCCAGTGGAGATAGTGGGGAGTTGGGAGGGCCCTATCAGACCAGCTCTCAGGCCACAGGACTCCCCAGGAGCCCGTGCTGAGTGGCTGCCTCTGTGAGTGGAGTATACGTGCCCTTTCTCCCTCAGTCTTGTTTCCTTATTTTCCATTCTCCTCACCCTTGGCCCATATTCTTAAATTAAGTAATGAAAAATGAATGGGAGAAATGGAGCTCCAAACTTGCCCTCTCCTTCACAGCAGTTTTAGGGACATGCCTGCAGTAGATCGCATGCCTGGAACGATTTTTTGGCAACTTGAAATGCGTTTATCCTTGACCTGGTAAACCAGGCGTCCCCAAACTTTTTACACAGGCGGCCAGTTCACTATCCCTCAGACCGTTGGAGGGCCGCCACATACTGTGCTCCTCTCACTGACCACCAATGAAAGAGGTGCCCCTTCCTGAAGTGTGGTGGGGGGCCGGATAAATGGCCTTAGGGGGCTGCATGCGGCCCCCGGCCCGGCCGTAGTTTGGGGACGCCTGTCAGGTAAACGCTGCCCTGCACAGCTGTGTATGGGCCAAAAGTGGATTGTGTTTATTTGTCTCCTCGGGTATGTGTGAGTTCATATATATTATCTGTGTGGTAAACTTGGTCAACTCCTACAGGAAGGGAGCCATGTGATTCTTTTTGTAGAGTCTAAATAACAACGCCCTTGACTTTCTCTATAGTGTTTTATAACAGGATACTTTTGGCTACCAGTGATAGAAAATGCATTTCAAGAGGCTGGGCGCGGTGGCTCATGTCTGTAATCCTAGCACTTTGGGAGGCCAAAGCGGGTAGATCACAAGGTCAGGGGTTGGAGACCAGCCTGGCCAATATGGTGAAACCCTGTCTCTACTAAAAATGCAAAAATTAGCCAGGGGTGGTGGCGTGTGCCTGTAATCCCAGCTACTTGGGAGACTGAGGCAGGAGAATCACTTGAACCTGGGAGGCGGAGGTTGCAGTGAGCCAAGATTGTGCCATTGCACTCCAGCCTGTGCAACAAAGCAAGACTCCACCTCATAAAAAAAAAAAAAAGAAAAAGAAAAAGAAAGAAAAGAAAAGAAAAAAGAAAATACATTTCAAAATGGCTTAAACAATAAGGAAATTTTCTCACATAACAAGAAGTTCTGAGATAGGGTGTTTTGAGGGCTGGCTAATTCAGTGGCTCAGTGACCTGCGAAGACCCAACTTCTTTACCCCTTTCTATTCTGCCGTCTTCCAGCCTGCACTCTGCCCTGCTGGCCTTGAGACAGATCCTGCAGGGCCGGCCATGTAGTGGCAGGCAATGGCCAGCAGATGAAGAGATCATCTCTTCTTGTGTGTCTTTCAGTTGAGTAGCGATGCCTTTTCTAGCGACCCTCCAGCAAACTTCCATGTCTTTGACTAGGGTTGGGCCACATGTCTCTTCTCA